AATGTACTTACTGTGTTTATAATGTATTTGAGAACACTTATAGTGCAGTTGGGATAGAGGTTGGGTTATGGACAGGTTTGGTGGTATGGGTAGGTTTAAGGGTGGGTTAAGGTGTAAGGGATGGTCAACAGTGTATTTACAAATGTAATTACAAAAGTTAATTACAGATGTAATTACATACATGTATTTAATCAAGCATAAGTACAGTACACAGTAAATACATGCATTTACATAATAAGTACATTGTAACAAACTATTAATTACTGTGTAAAAATTACTGTATAATTAATTACTAATTAATTACTGTATAAAGTGGGACCAAAAAAGCTAATTGTAAGAAATTAAGTTGAAAAAGATGTTTGGTTGGGGCAGCACGGTAGCGCAGTGGGTAGCACAATTGCCTCACAGCAAAAAGTTTGCTGGTTCTAGCCTCAGCCTGGTTAGTTGGCATTTCTGTTTTCCCCACAGTCAAAAGATATGCAGTACAGGTCAATTGAATTAGCTAAATTGACCATAGTGTATGTGAATGTGTGCAAGAGTGTGTGGATGTTTCTGAGTGATGGGTTGCAGCTGGAAGGGTATCCGCTGTGTAAAACATATGCTGGTTAAATTGGCGCTTTATACCACAGTGGCAACTCCTGATGGTAGGGGACCCCTGAATAAAGGGACTAAGCTGAAAAGAAAATGAATGAGTAAATAAAAAAAGTTGCAATTATTATTATTTTCTTTTTGTCTTGCAGAGTAAAACCAGCCTCCACATATAGCAGGAAACATACACACACAGGCTAAAACACTCCTGTTTTGTTTTCATGTGCTCTATAAATGCTGAAGAGTCGTTCTAAGAGTTGTGCCGGGACAGACACGTCCATATGTGATCTGAATCACAGAGCACGTGAATGACTGCCATCACATGTACATCATCACGTGCCACGTGTTTCTCAACAGAGACGTGATCATGGACAATAGATCAGGAAAATTTGAGTTTACCCTGCTCTTTATATTGATTGCATACAGCAGTGTTTTCTTCCCTCTTCCCCACTGGTTCCCTAGAGAAGCTGATAATCAGAACAATATATAGACACATTTAGCAGGGGAGAATCAGCATCAGTTGAACAAAAACAGAACAGATCAGCAGAAGGCAGCTAATTAATCTGACACACGCTATGCTAAAATATAGCCCTCGCTGTTGAAAATTCAGTAAAAAGAGTAGTAGTTTATTATACAGTATCTGTTTTTGTGAGTGGCGACGCTGTGGCACAGGGGTGAGCACTGTTGCCTCACAGCAAGAAGGTCAAGAAGGTTCGAGTCCCAGCTGGGTAAGTTGGCATTTCTGTGCGGAGATAAATTAGGGTTGCGGCTTAAAGGGCATCCGCAGCGTAAAACATATGCTGAAATAGTTGGCGGTTCATTCCACTGTGGTAAATAAGGGACTAAGCTGAAGGAAAATGACTAAATGAATGTTTTTGTGAGTCATCAGTCCTGCAGGCGCACTTTGACAGTTTAATAACTTAAAAATATCTATACCTAAATAATATAGATTCATAAGCTGGTAGACTTCTGTAAATACTGAAAACCTATATTTAATTTAAAAAGTTGATATTTCATATAATTCTATGTAACTTGTTTTTTATATATACACTACAATACCAATCAAAAGTTTGATTCAATATTTTTTGAAAGATGTCTTATGATGCTTAACAAGGTTGCATTTATTTATAAAAAGTGTTTAAAAAGTACTATTTCAATTGTTATTATTATTATTTACAATTTAAACTTGCTGTTTACCGTTTAAATATATTTTAAAATGACTTTGTTATTGTTTAAATCTTTATATCTTTTCATATTTCTGTGGAAACTGATTTTTTTATGCTTTGGCAGCAATTACAGCATCAGGTCTTTTTGAATATGATGCCACAAGCTTGGCACACCTGTCTTGGGGAATTGTTGCCCATTCTTCTTTGCAGTACCTCTCAAGCTCTATCAGGTTGGATGGGAAGTGACTGTGTAAAGCCATTTTCAGAACTCTCCAGAGATGTTCAATAGGATTTAGGTCTGGGCTCTGGCTGGGCCACTCAAGGACATTCACTGAGTTGTTGTGAAGCCATTCCATTAATATTTTGGTGGTGTGTTTTGGGTTATTGTCCTGCTGGAAGATGAACCGTCGAGAGCACTCTGATGCAGGTTTCCATTCTGGATGTCTCTGCACATTGCTGCATTCATCTTTCCCTTTATCCTGACTAGTCTTAAAGTTCCTGCCGCTAAACAAAATCCCCACAGCATGATACTGCCACCACCATGCTTCACTGTAGGGATGGTATTAGCCTGGGGATTAGCGGTGTCTGGTTTTCTCCAAATGTAACGCCGGGCATTCACTCCAAAGAGTTCAAATTGAGTCTCATTAGACCAGAGAGTTTGGTTTCTTATGGTCTGAGAGTCCTTCAGATGCCTTTTGGCAAATTCCAGGGGAGTGGCTTCCATCTGGCCATTTTACCATTCAAGCCTGATTGGTGGATTGCTGCACAGATGGTTGTCCTTCTGTAAGGTTCTCCTCTCTCCACAGAAGAACGCTGGAGCTTAGACTGAGTGACCATCGGGTTATTGATCACCTCCCTGACTAAGGCCCTTCAATCCTGATCACTTCCTAGAGATGGCCGGCCAGCTCTAGGAAGAGTCCTGGTGGTTCCAAACATCTTCCACTTATGGATGATGGATGCCACTGTGCTCATTGGAACTTTCAGAGCAGCAGAAATTTTTCTGTTACCTTCCCCAGCCTTGTGCCTCAAGACAATCCAGTCTCAGAGGTCTACAGACAATTCCTTTGTCTTCATGCTTGGTTTGTGCTTTGACATGCACTGTCAACCCTGGGACCTTATATAGTCAGGTGTATGCCTTTTCAAATCATGTCCAATGAACTGTATTTACCACAGGTAAACCCCAATGAAGCTGCTGAAACATTTCAAGAATGATCAGTGGAAACAGAATGTAACTGAGCTCATTTTAGAGCTTCATGGCAAAGGCTGTGAATACTTATGTACATTTGATTTTTCAGCTTTTAAATTTTTAATAAATTTGCAACAATTTCAACAATGTTTTTTTCACATTGTCATTATAGGGTATTGTGTGTAGACATTTGAGGAAATAAATGAATTTAATTCATTTTGGAATAAGGCTGTAGCATAAAAAATGTAGAAAAAGTAAAGCGCAATGAATACTTTGAAGATGCACTGTATGCAGGTAAAGTGTTTGAAAATACTTTTGTCAAAATGTCAACATCCAGTCACTTTTATTGTCACGTCATCAGCAGCACGTGTGCTATGATGAGTGAAAAGATTAAGCTTAGCATGTGGGTGAAATAATGTTTAGTCATCGTTCAAAGTAAAATTTATGGTTTTGGTATAATATTCAATTCTTCTGATCTGTGCTTATTTAAATTTATATACAATACAAACATATACGTGTTCGTATGATGTCAAATGTTTCTCGTTTTAAATGTATCATCGTGGAAAATATAATAACTTTCCACACGCACTGCGGATGTTTTTACTCAGTAACTGCAACAGTTGATGACTGAACAAGCTGGCCAATGCGGTTTGTTCTCCGCTTTTGAGAGAAGCATCTGCTGTCCAGAAGCTCTGGATCTGAATGTTGTTGCAGAGACACACTGGCTGCTTTCTGCTGGACGGCACCAGCACTAATGAAGCTGGCAGAGATTCTGCTCTCTCTGGACTCAAATTGAGTTTAGTGTGTGGAGTCTCTGACTGCAGCTTCTGTGGAGTCCACACGTCCTGACATTAAACACAGTGTGCTTTTCCCCTTTGGTTTGGCTCCATCAGAGGCAGCAAAACAATAACACAACCCTTTTAATTTTCATTATTTTTATTTTTTACCTGTTGCTTGTTGTATTGATGGTGAGAGTGTCTTATTTGCACTATAATATTGCCTATATTGCACTGCTATATTTTTGGTGCACCCTTTTCACAAGATGCGTTTAACTGTCATCAGCAACTTAAATCCTTGAAAGTTTTTAATATTTTGATTTTTTTTAAAAACATGTTAGAACATTTATACAGTTAGATACATACATATTTTACCATTGACACAATTCTAATAGTTTTGGCTCCGTAAATCAACACAATAGATTTGAAATAAAATGAACAAGATGTGCTTTAACTGCAGACTGTCAGCTTTAATTTAAGGGTATTTACATCCAAATCAAGTGAATGCTGTAGGAATTACAACAGTTTGCATATGTGCCTCCCACTTGTTAAGGGACCAAAGGTAATTGGACAGAATAATAATCATAAATTAAACTTCCACTTTTTAATACTTGGTTGCAAATCCTTTGCAGTCAATTATAGCCTGAAGCCTGGAACACAAAGACATCACCAGACGCTGGGTTTCATCCCTGGTGGTGCACTGCCAGGCCTCTACTGCCACCGTCTCAGTTCCTGCTTGTTCATGGAGCAGTTTCCCTTCAGTTTTGTCTTCAGCAAGTAAAATGCATGCTCAATTGGA